GTAGTTTGGCCTGCCATCTGAAAATGAAATGGCAGTTATCAGAATTTTCAAAAAGATCTGATAATTTTCCATGGATTCAAGTGAAATTTGTCAAAATGGTAGAGATTTCAGAGAAATGTTAGTGCTTTTGGAATGACTCATTAATCATTGAGCTAGATTATCAACGATGATCTCCAATTACCTTCACGCCATTAGAAAACATCATAAAACTCTCCCACCCATGTTTATTTCGCCTATGTTTGCCCAAAAGAAATACAGCCCAAGTTAAAAGCTCCCTCTTCCTTAAACAGTCCTAGGTTTGCTTTCCCATGGGAGGTGACATATCCTTTTTCCAAACTCCCACAGCATGAGACACACATGAGCTCCATGATATGCAAGTATTCTCAGATGGCAGGTGCCTGGAGGGCAGGCTCCACACCCAAATGAGCCATGCGCCTGCACTGCTACCTTCTCACCAAGTACAGCTCCTGGCCCAATACCTTAAAAAGGTTTCAGGCATATCTTGTTTTATTGCACTTTGAAGAATTTTTAAAATACAAATTGGAGGTTTGTGGCATGTATTCGTGCCATTTTCCTGACAGCTCAGCTAATCATTATCATCTTTTAGTAATAAGGTATTTTTAGTTAAGGTGTGTGCATTGGTTTTTTAGATAAAATGCTATGGCACACTTAAGAGATTATAGTATAAGCATAACTTTAAAAAAATTTTTTTAATAGTTGTATATGGACAGTAGCATGCCTTTATCTCATTTTTTATGTGGTGCCAAGAATCAAACCCAGGCTCTCACACATGCTAGGCAAGCGCTCTGCCACTTAGCCACAGCCCCATCCCTAAGCATAACTTTTATATGCACTGGGAAACCAAAAAGTTTGTTTGACTAGCTTTATTGTGATATTTATGGCGGTCTGAAACCAAACCCATAATATCTCCAAGGTTTGCTTGTACAAGCTCAGTAGGCATTCATGAATGAATGAATAAGGGAATAAATAAAGATTATTAAATGTTCTTTTCCCTGGTATTGCTAAACACTCCAAAGTGCAGTTATTTGCTAAAAACTTTTGCATTCACCTTTCAAACACAATAGATTGATAGCCAAGTTTCAAGTAGTCATTCCATGGCAATTCTTGGTAACAAATTTCCTTTGAACAGATAGTACCGTAGAGTTTAGCTAGATCTCTTTCAACATGCCCTACATGGAAAATGTTAACCAGACATTTACTTCTTTTTTGAGAGCTAAATAACTTCATTTAACAGCATCTACAGCTGTCAGAACTTTGGCAGTCTTTGTGAAAAATATCATTTTAACTGTCCATATTAAAAATTAATCACATAAGGTTTTCTTTGTTTTGTTTTTATTACTTGAACTCCCTACTGATACAGAAAAAATATTCTGTGGGTTTCTTTGTTTGCTTATTTTTAGTACAGTGGGGGTCTTTCCCTCATGATGTGAAAACATATGGTTATCACAATGGCCGGGAGAGAAAATGCCTGCACTTTAGAATTATAATGACCCTGCCTCTAGCTCCCACCACTCCTCCCACATAACCACTGTGGATGGAAATGCAGGAGATTCTCTTGGCCATTTTTGCCTTGCTTCACATGGTAAGTTATCAAGCTTTTGTGGCTTTCCTTTTGAACAGTAGTTTCAAAGATCCAACATGAAGTTAACATAGAAATTTCTTTCTCCATATCTGCTCACCAAGGAGCTGGAATGTTCATTGAAGGGCTCAAGGAAGTTCTCTCAGGCATTCTGGACCAGAGTGAACCCAAACCCAAGGAGACTGCCATTTTCCCTATCGTGAAAGACTTCCTGTACAACAGTGTCTTGTTCTTAAGAGCCTTAATCATTTCTCTCTTCTGGAAATTTAGTTCATTCGCTTGTAACCCATTCTTGGCAAAGTGAAGAACCCCTCTTTAACCCCTCTCCAGATCCACTGCTGGCTTATAATGAACTATCTGTCAAAGTGGGGGGTTTCATTCCTGAAGAGGCACTTCCTCACCCATTTCTTCCATCAAAGTCTGAACAGACCTTGCAAATCACGTGGTACCAACCTCTCACTGTACCAATTAGAAAGTGGTAGGCCCCCAAAAGCCACAGATGTGCTTCCCACGCTACACCACTTGGCAGGAGCCAAGTGCCGCCTGGAACATGGACCCTCCCACCAGGAGCCCTGTGTCCTTGCTCACCTTTCCTGGTCTTAGAGCTCTTCCGGGAGTAGAGTGGTAATTCCCAACACTGTTGCTGAGGCCAGGCATGGAGGTAGACAAGTAGTAGTTAGGTCTTTATACCTTTGCTATTCAAAGTGTGGTCCACAGGCCAACAGCATCAGCATCATCTGGAAACATGTTGGAGATGCAGCGCCCAGGCCTATCCCAGACCTCCTTTTTAATAACATCCCCAGAACAGTCATCAGCATATTAAAGTTGAGAAACACTACTCCATGGCAGGGGGAGAAAAGGACTCATCTTCACATTTTGAGTTGATGTAGTTACAACGTGATGACTTCATGCCCCTGACCTAATGTCACGTCTTAATGCAGAATTACACCAAGGAATTCTCCTGCAATATGACCCTAAAGGACTTGTCTCCTCTAAAAGGTCAATAGAAATAAATAAATAATTTAAAAAAGGCAGGCCAATAGAACGGTCTAAGAAATAGGATCACTGGAGCTCACTAAATGTCTTGTGTAATCTAAATAACACAGTAAGTGTTACAGTTTAGATATGAGGTACCAAAAGCTCATGTGAGAGACAATGCAAAAAGGTTTAGAGGTGAAATAATTGGGTTATGAGAACTTTTATCTTAATCAGTGCATTAATCCCCTGATAGGGATTAACTGGGCAGGTGGGCTGTATAGAGGAGGTGGGTCACTGGGGATGTGTCTTTGAGGTATATATTTTGTCCCTGGTGACTGGTATAATGTATGTATGTTGTCTCTCTGCTTCCTGGTGTGATGTCTTCAGCAGCTTCCCTCCACCACACTCTTTGGCCATGATGTTCTACCTCACCTTGGGCCTTGAGAAATGGAGTCAGCCATCTTTGGACTGAGACCTTTGAAACCCTGGAGGCCAAATAACTATAATTGTCAGGTCTTTGGATCACAGCAACGAAAAACCTGACTAAAATATTAAGCCTGTTTAATCCAGTTGCATTTCTGAAATTATTTTATTTGAATACGACTGAGTGGTAAAATGGAAGGAGGAATTACTTCACCTAAAATCAGAGCTATCCATCATTTATTCATTTATTTGTTTGTTTGTTTATGGGGGCAGACCATTTCCAGAGGGGTTGTATAGTTTTACATGTCCAAAAACAATATATGTGGGTTAGGAGCTTAATTTGGGGGGGGATTGAACTCGGGGGCACTCAAACACTGAGCCTCATCCCCAGCCATATTTTGTATTTTATTTAGAGACAGGGTCGAACCGAGTTGCTTAGCACCTGGCTTTTGCCGAGGCTGGCTTTGAACTCACGATCCTCCTGCCTCAGTCTCCTGAGCTGCTGAGATTATAGGCGTGTGCCACTACACCCAGCCACTTTTATTTTTTCATAAAGTGGTTGCCCACAAGAATTGTCAATGCAGGAACCCAGCAGGTGCATCATGCCAGCATTAAGAATGCAGGAAGAGGAGCCAGCTGTCCTGGGAACAAGTCAGAGCTCTACTTGCTGCCAGCTGCGTACCCTTGATAAAGTCTGTGCCTCAGTTCCCTCCTCTTTAAAAGGGGAATGAACATAGTACCAATTTCATGAGCTGATAAAGATGAAATGATACTTATAAAGCCTAGCACACAATGCACGCTCCATAAATGTGAGCTGCAGTCATTACACATATCCTGTGTGTCAGTGTAACTTAAAACCACTCTGGCCCCCAGAATAATTTCCTCTTGTGATTGACCCAGATATTGATCCACAGCCAGTTGACAAAGTACATAAAAGGCAGACACTGAGCAAAGTCCCACCCTACAAAAACAGAGTGTTTCTAGACTCTAGCAAAGGCATGGATCACCTTCCACTTGGAATTCTAATGCATGGTGACATGGACTAAGTGCCCTAGAGCGTGATCAGCCATGAGGAAATAAAGAAAAGAGAAGTCCACCTTAGTCACGCAACCTCATGCCTTGCAGCTGTCCCTTGTGGGCACACTAGTGAAACACTCCGTCCACTGCAAAGCAACTTTTACACGGAAAGAGGGAGGAGCAGTCATGTAGCACCCTCTCTTTAAAACATGCCCCACGTTGTCCTTCCTTGTGAGTTAGCCAAAGGACAAGTCTGTTTTCCTTTCCCAGACTTCATTTCAGTTTTTATTTTTATAAAAGCAGCAAAAACATTGCACTCTCCATCCCATCCTCTTTTGTTAAAAAAAAATCCATTTAAAATTAAATTTGCTCTTTTTGAAAGATTAGTCCCCACTTCTTTTCCTAATTAGGTCCAATCAAAATATAAGAGTAAGCATCCCACTGGACAAGCCAAAGTGAAAAACATCCTCCAACCCTCAAAAATCAAAATCAGACCAAACCAACAACGGAACATAATTTGAGTGCCCCCCCCCACAAAGGTGACTGACAGAACTTATGGGGGGATTCAAAATTTTAAAGCGTTCCTAAGACTTTTGGAGAGGGAAGAAATCAAGTTTGTATATGGTCTTTAATAAAATCACTATGTTTTCCAGCCATGCTTTTCAGATTAATAGTATTATTATATTTTTACTAGCTGCACCATGCAGGGAGTACACCTATTTAGAGGAAACATTTTTCTAATTGAGTTTAACCCAATAAATTAAAGGAGGGGATATAAAAAAAGAACTCTCAACTTGCAGTCAGGCATGGCATTTGTTTTTCATCACGGGAGGCTCTGAGATTTCTCTCTGGTGGTCTTTTTTTGCCTTACCTGCCAGAGGGCAGAGGCCCTGGGAACAGCTACTTGTCCCCATCCTCTGCCCTCCCCTCCTCCAGTCAACACACCTGAGCCACCCTGGATGCTCACTGGTCCCCTCCTTACCTGTCAGTTTTCTTGATCAGGATGGCTCTAAAGATGTGCTCAAGGGGCATCTTCTCCTGCTTGTGAGTGGGCTGCACAAAGGGGTGCAGGGTGGCCAGGGAGAACCCCTGCTGATACAGCTCCAGAAGTTGGGCAGGCAGGTCCCTCAACGAGGCCAGCCTCACCGCAGAGGACCGAGGGAGCTCCGCTGGAAGTGGAGAGAGGAGAGAGGCTCATCAGAGACCCACAAAAACCACCCTCTGCACCCCACTGAAAACCCTCTCCTTTTGCCCTCAGGGAAGACCCTCAAGGTCATCTTTTGCTAAATATGAATTTATTCCCATCTTTACTGCCTTCAAAGAGACATTATAAGTAGCCTGTCATTTACAACTCATCCAAAGGCATCAGGGATGGGATGTCTTTCATCTAGAGTCAGTACTCTCAGTGATCAATGGAAAAGTCATTTCCACCCCAGTGAAGAAAGGAAGAAGGAGAGGAAGAGACTAAATGCAAATACAAAATTCTGGGCGGCAAAAAGCAACATAAACAGTGTCAAAAGACAAAATTTCGGTGATACTTACAAATGTAAGTTCTTAATTTGGAAAGAAATTACTGCCTTCCACCTATCTCCCCTCAAAATAGAAAAATGGGCAAAGGCTATGAACAGGCAGTTGTTTAAAAAACATAAAAGGCTAGTCTTTACTTGAAAAGCCACTCAAATTAACATTAGAAGTTCACATGTCAAAACAAGAAATATTTTTCACCTATTATACTATCTTAAAATTTGGGTCTTAAATTCAGTTATTTTTGTGAAGGGAAGACAAGGCTCCAAAGTTAAATGGTATATATACACATACATGTAATGGGAAGTCTACAGCCTAGCCCTACCTCCAGTTTTATCCCTAGAGGCAATGATTATTATTTCTTTTTTGGATATGCATTGACAATTTTTGAATTCAGACATAATAAATACCATCTTGTGCATAATCTCCTTCCCCTTCTATACAGATGGCTGGATAACATTACACACCTGGTTTTCCATCAATTGATAGGATACTTTTCCTACAGACCATTCCACAACAGTACCCAGAGCTCTTCCTCATCTGTTTTTCATAGATTGTATAAGCTATGATATAACACACGACCAAACTTCTGCTTCTACAAGTTTTAATAAAAATATTCCTACATGACTTCCACACGTGTATACACCTACCACATTAAAAAAATTAATTCCTAGACATGGAATTGTGGGGTTACACACTGATTTTTTTCGGATATTGCCAGACTTCTTCCAGAGAATAGTACAGACTTACCCACTATCAGTGGAATATGAAAGTGTTTCTTTTCCCATGCCCTGGATAATCTCATAGTAGAAAAGTAATCCCTGAGGGGTAGAAATTTTTTTTCTTCTAGGTAATTTGTACTTTTAGTAAACATTTCGTATTTCAGTGCTGTTTCCTCTTCTGTGAACTGTCTTGTGTATAACCTTTACTTAGTATTCTATTGGATTACTGGTCTTTTCTATTCATTTGTAGAAATTCTTTATGTATTAGAGAATCTCTTCCCCCAATTTGTTGCTAGTCTTTTGACTTTGCATAAAGGAGATTTTTATCATGAATTCTTTTATGAAGTTAAATTTATCAATCCTGTTTTCAATAGCTTCTGAGTTTCATGTTATAAAAGATATGGGATTATAAAACAATTTTCCTGTGAATTCTTATAACATATTTCATTTTTGCATGTAAATCCTGAATTTATCTTAAGTATGTGTTATGAATTCAACATCTTCCCAAGAGTTTATCCATTTGAGATGTAATTTTTATCATATAAATGAATTACTTAAGTTTATGATTATAATCTATTTGAGTACAGAACTGTTTTTAACAATGTTTTATATGTTTTCATATCTGGTTAGGCTATTTCTTGAATCTTCTTACCTTCCTTTTTCTCAATCTTGTCTAATTTGTTTCGTTTTTCCAAATGGTTTCGTTTTTTTTTTGTTTTTTTTTTTTTTAGTTTTCGGCACACACAACATCTTTGTTTGTATGTGGTGCTGAGGATCGAACCCGGGCCGCACGCATGCCAGGCGAGCACACTACCGCTTGAGCCACATCCCCAGCCCTCCAAATGGTTTAAAAAAAAAAAAAAAAAATCAGCTTATTAAATTCCTCCTCCTCGCTCCCAAAATGTTGGTAGTTTTACTGGCTCATGTTCAAATTATGAAGGAGAATGGATATTTTTCCATCATGCCATCCAAAATAGCCTAACTTTGATTTATTCAGCTCTTCTTTGGGTCCCTCAGGAGCATATTAAAGGTTTTTTTTCCACTTGGATATTGCATATTTATCAAGTTATTCCTACTTCTTTTACAGGTTTTCTTTTACTTCTATAATGCCTATGCTAGTGAAACAGCCATGCTCATTACAGCTGGTAGGAGCAGACCTTTCTGGAAGAAAGGTCACACACACACACCTACCTCTGTCCAACAACCTTACAACTGGTGTTAATCGTACAGTGGATTCATAAACGTCTTTCAAAATATAAGGAAAAAGGGCTGGGATTATGGCTCAGTGGTAGAGCACTTGCCTAGCACATGTGAAACATTGGGTTCAATCCTCAGCACCACATAAAAATAAAGGTATTGTGTCCATCTACAAATCAATCAATCAATCAATCAATAAAATGTATAAGGAAAAAGCAGCAGCATTACAGCCACATGTTGAATCAAGATGGTTGCTAGGTCACCGGGTTCCAACCAACAGAGCTACTCTCAATGGAGGAGGGTTGACCTTTCATTGTAGGGGAGTACAAGGGCAGCACACCCAAGTAGGTACTGAGGTGGCTGTCCTGGAAGATTCTCCTTGCCTGCCCCTGCTCCTCCACAAGCCGACCTGGGCCAGGCTCCTTTTCTCTACCTCCTCTCCCCCCCCCCCCCCCCCCCCCCCCCCTCCCCAAGATGCAGGGGGCTTTGAACAGCGACTATCTTCCTCCAACCTGGACAGCACCACTGCATCCTGGACATGGAAATGTGTGCTGTGGTAAGTCCGAAAGTGGTAAGTCAGCTGGGGAGATATGAACGTTGACTGGATACCGAAGAACTGCACTAATAGTTTAAGTGTGACGATGGTACCCTGGTCACACATAAAAAACGAATCCTAATCTATTAAAATGCAGTTTGAGACATGATACAGTGAGGCCAGATGTCTTAGAGCTATTTTAAAATATGTGCCGTTAGGGCCGGGGCTGTAGCTGAAAGTGCTTGCCTCACATGTGCGAGGCACTGGGTTCGAGTCTCAGCACATTAAAAAAATAAAGGCATTGTGTCTATACCTAAAAAAAAAAAAAAAAAAAAAAAACTTACTTTTAAATATGTGCTCTTAGTCAAGTGGGTAAGTCTGGGACAAGAGACTGGGCAGATGTAACTACCTATAACACCTGGATAATAAAAATCTGGGAGTCTTTTTATGCTTCATTTTTATAAATATTGGAATTATCTAAATAAAAAAACTGAAAAATAAACACTAAGAAAAAATATGGATATTCATTACAGTATTGTTATAATAGCATAAAACTGGAACCAAAGAGTTCTTCATTGAGGACTATTCAGTAATGGCAATAACCTAATGATGACTCCTATGAACATTAAGAAAATTGAGGTTAATCTGTTATGTGCTAATATGGGTTGAGTCTAACATGCATTGCTAAGTTAAAAAGTACCCAACTCTTAATGATATAGTCATGCTTAATTTGGAAAAAAAAAAGATGGATAGGCATAAGTGTTTTGTTTTTTTTTTCCCCCTGGAAGAAATTACAAAGGTGTAAACATTGGACAGGGGGACTAGAGTAGGGAGAAAGGGGTAGAGAGATCATTTTTATTTAATACTTTCAAAACTATCATAGAATCCGGTACAGTGGTGCATACCTGTAATCCTAGCAGCTCGGGAGACTGAAGCAGAATTGTGAATTCAAAGCCAGCCTCAGTAACTTAGTGAGGCTCTAAACAATTCAGTGAGACCCCATCTCTAAATAAATTATAAAAAGAGCTGGGGATATAGCTCAGTGGTTGAGTGCCCCTGGGTTCAATCCTGTGTGTGTGTACACACACACCCCCAAAAAAGAACTATTACAGGGATCATTTCAATGGAGAGTTTAGAGTATTCTTATTTTCTTCTTTATATTTAAAAAATATTTAAAAGATAATGTCAGCAAAAGCAAGGTGCTAAGCAACTTGGCAAAACCCTGTCTCTAAATAAAATACAAAACAGGACTGAGGATGTGGCTCAGTGGTCGAGTTCCCCCGAGTTCAATCCCTAGTACCACCCACCAAAACAAAGTTGGGGTTTTTTTTTGTTTTGGTACTAGGAACTGAACCCAGGGGTGCCTAACCACTGGATAACACCCCCAACCCTTTTTTGTATTTTATTTAGAGAGAGGGTCTTGCTGAGTTGATTAGTGTCTCACTAAATTTCTGAAGCTGGCTTTGAACTCACTATCCTCCTGCCTCAGCCTCCTGAGTCACTGGGATTACAGGCGTGAGCCATCGTGCCTGGCAAGATAATGTTTTTTTAAATGATGCTTGGTTTTTAAAAATTTAAAATCAAGATCTAGGGTACTTAAGAATTCTATGTATCATTAGATACCGTGGCTTTCATTTCCATACATCATGCAAGAAATTTACAGGAAAAAAAAATTCATAGCAATGATTCACTCTAAATCAAGTGTCCAGCATTGTGGAGGAACCTCCATTAATAACAATGACAAATGTAAGACTGGTTAGAAAAGCATGCAATCTCTCCCCTGAAGGATAGTTTCCAGATATGTTGCGAAAGAGGAAAGGAGGAAAAAAAAAAAAAAAACATCCAAAGGCAAATCTGGTAAAGAGATAGAGTTCAGTGGCAAAGATCTTGCCTATCTTTAACAAAATCTAAGGCTCTGGATTTGATCCCCAGCACTGCCAAAAAATAAATCTAAGTCTTTCTTCAATTTTCTCTACAGTTCAAACTTTTCTAGATGTGTCGGGTATTTCAAGCTCTGCCATAATAAACCTTTACAATTTTGTTAATTTGTGTTTCTTCCTGCTATAATAAAAAAAATACAAGCAGCTGATGTGTATAAAAGTCAGATTTTTTTTTTTTTTTTTTTAATACAGGGTCTCACTCATTGTCCAGCCTATCCTCAAACCCTGGGGGGAGGAGGAACACAAGTGAT